ATTTTATGGTCTCCAACTATCTCCACCTTTGCGTACAGTTTTCTCATTTCAAATCCTCATCGATCCTGCGACTTTGCCCTCTACCCCAAACCTTCCAAATCAAATTTTTGAATAACAAAGGAGGTGTACTCCAAAAAGTAATCAAAATTGTCAGGAGGATATCTTGGTGGAACTCGAAATTTTTTCATTCACCGAAATGAACATCATTTTTGTTATTATTTTTGCAACAAATCGGATTTGTGGAAATTTTAGTGGAAGGTTTTACGCCATTGTAGGGGAACTCAGTGGTGCTCAATCCAGCAGACTGTCAAAGTCATATGGATCGAGATAACCTGTCACCATTACCGAAAACAACTCCATTTCCAATTTTTTATTCCCCCATTCCTGATATTTTCATTAATTTTTGTTGTGAATTTTTATTTTCCCGATGAAATGATGACCTCTAGTTTTGATTTTGTCCAGTTATTGAGACAGTCAACTCGTGGTTTAATGAGAAATAATTATTATTATGTACTTGCGATTGTGTTTGTGCATTATGCTGGGTTGAGGTTGAGGAAGTTGAAAAATAATCGTGTGGAGATTCGAGTTTTGCCGGATGATGTTTTTAGGAAAATTGTCGGTGGTTTTTCAGTGGGGAGTGAAGGGTATGTTGATGGTACTTGTTGTGTAATGGGGAGTGGGAGGTTCCTGGGGGAGTGGGTGAATATTTGTTGTGAAGAGTCCCCGAAGAAATACAGAACTAGATTTTTGAATATCCAGAGAGATGAGAGGGTTGTTTACTTATCGGAAACTCTGTTATTCAATGTTGAAAATTTACTAGGGTGCCAGGATCCTTCCAAGTATTTTTTTTGTAAGTTCAAATTATTTTCTTCTCCAGTTTTTTCTTTTAGGAATGTTCGAATAAATAAAAAATATCCAATTATCATTCTCAATATTTTAATAATTTCCAAGGAATTAAAGAAGCTGTTCAAAATATTCACTCGACAGTTTCTCTAAATCTGAATGAATTAAGGAATTTATTATTGTTATACAATTATTAATCAGTTAAATCAATCATAACTAAAATAGAATTCATAGGTTCCGACATCCGTCCGGTAAAAATTAAAAAAATAGTAAATAATAATTTATAGTAGTTAATTTAAATTTTAAGTAATGACAACTATTACGAACTTTCAGTGCCTGCAAGTAATGAGTCCCTTCACTTTGCCGATGAAGTAAGGATATCCATGATATCGAATCCACACGAGTGTTCTACCGATTTAATCGACGGTGTCTTGAAAAACTTCTTCTCCAATCCGAAATATCTTCGTAAAAACGACGTAATTACTGCTGACATCAGGGAATTCAATCCCAATCTTTATTACAGTCTTCCAGCCCCTCAGCTTAAACTACTGCACTTCCGGGTGAACTCTATAACAATTGATAAGAAAAGAACATCAAAACCAGTTTATGTTTTCCAAAAAGTATCTACACTGATTCAAGAGAAAGAAATTCATAAAAATCTTCCTCGTTCTTTAAAAGTATCAATTAATGGAAACAACGATTTAAATATCAAGGGAGAATTGCAGGGAGGATCCGACAATTGCCCAGAATTTTTTAAAAAATACCTGCAAGAATTAGAGTCGTGCATCTTGCCTTTTATATCATCAGATAACTGGCTCGGCTTGAAACCTGTTTTTCTCGTAGAGGGACCCCAGGGCTGTGGAAAATATCATCTCGTAAAAATCCTATCCCAGAGACTAGGCTTGAACTTCATGAACGTCGACTGCAGTGAGATCCAAACCCTCTCTCCTTCCCAGACTGAAGCGAAAATCCGAATTGCTTTTAATAACGCAGAGAAATCCACCCCCTGCATCCTGAAACTCTCGAATATTCAAATTCTCGGTAAAAACGCAGAGGGAAAAATCGACGAGCGAGTCACTTCCAATTTTTCTCATCAGCTCACAGAACTCTACTCTACACAATCTTCTCACCCACTTATTATCATAGCCACATCGGAATCCTCCGAGCTGCCATCAGATTTCAATCGGATCTTCATAGAAAAAATAAAAATAAAGTACTTAAGCCAGAACGAACGCACCGACTTGATCACATGGTTCCTGCAAATCCAAAACATCAAACACTCAAACGTAGACATCTCCAAGATCTCAGCAATGTGTTCCGATTTTGTGATGAAGGACTTGCAATCGTTGAGTCAAATTGCTGTAAAAAATCGCTACAAAAAAACGAGGAACCGCAAAGTTTTGAGACTACAAGAAAGCGATTTGACCGATTCATACAAATCGATGCAATCGATCTTCTCAGACAAGATTGGCGCCCCCAAAATTCCAGAAGTCCACTGGGAAGACATCGGTGGACTAGCGAGCCTGAAACATGAGATAATTCGAAGAATAGAACTTCCCCTGATGCAGAATTCTGGAATTCAAAGCTCTGGAATTCTCCTGTACGGACCACCAGGAACTGGAAAGACTCTTCTTGCGAAAGCAGTCGCTACTGA